ATTTTATGATTTCAGGTCTTATGTCCAGTTCTTTTATCTATTTTGAGTTGATTTTTGTGCATGGTGAGAGGTAGTGTCTAGTTTCATTTTTTTTGCATGTGGAGGTCCAGTTTTCCCAGCACCATTTATTGAACAAACTATCCATGTTCCATTACATATTCTTTGCTCCTTTGTCAAAGATTAGTTGTTCATATAAGTGTGGCTTTATTTCTAGGCTCTCTATGCAATTCCATTGTTCTGTGTGTCTGTTTTTGTTCCAAGGCCAAACTGTTTTAATTAGTATGGCTTTGTAGTATAGCTTGAAGTTTGGAAGTCCACCTTTCTCCTTTGTTTTTTCATCAGTAGGGTTTTGGCTATTTGTAGTTTTTTGTGGTTCCATATGAATTTCATCGGTATTTCCTCTATTTCTTGGAAGAATTATATGTGATATTTTAGGCCGAAAATAATTGGTGGAGTATTTATTTGGTAACAATATCCAAAACAGATTATATTATAAGGACTTGTGCCACAGCTAACTGAAAAAATAGTATGAAGTACAAAAGAAAACTGATGATATCTCAGTAATCAAAGCAAAGCATAAGCATAGAACTTTGAAAGGGAATTTTCAGATTAATTCTAGAATAATAACATGGGAAATATTTGCAGATACAGATTACTGTGCAAAAGAAAACTGATCTAGAGCATCACTGAAACTCCAGTGGAGTAGACCTAACAGGAAATAAAATATACATTAAAGCACCTAGCGTTCATGATTTATTTAACACTGCGTCAAAATGCAGCATCTTGTAATGCAGCAACAAACTTCATCTTGAAAAACATGTCCATGTCCATAAGTATTAAGATGAGAAAAAGTTAACATGACTTTATCAAATTATTTTTGTATTATTTATTTGAGGGAATACTGGTTTAAACCAGTACATATGATATTAGAGTATCAGAGCTCTTCAGATGTATGTTACCAGAACACCTTCCACCAAAGCACCCACAGTCCTGCACAATAGTCCATTGGGTCTCCTGCGTTTGCTCCCAACATCCCATGATTCTCCACCCTGGTAGTCTCAATTCTAAAATTAGATTTCTAGGGTTTGTTTGGTTTAATTTTGCCTTTTCCTTTGTCTAGTTTCTTTCTGTTCCATATATGAATGAGGATCTGTTATTTGTCTTTCACCTTTTAACTCATTTCACTTTGCATAATCACCTTCAGTTCCACCCATATTACTGCAAGTGGCAAGATTTCACCTTTTTATAGCTGAATAACATTCCATTTGTGTACATCCCATATCTTAGTTATCTACTCATCTGTTGTTGGGCACTTTGGCTGTTTTCACAACCTGATGATTGTAAATATGGTACAATGAGCACTGGAGTGCATACACCCCTTGCAATATGTGTTTTTATATTCATTGCATAGGTAACTAGTAGTAGAATTCCCTAAACATATGGTAGATCTATTTTTAACATTTTGAGACACTTTATACTAGAGGACCCGGAGGGGAGGGACAAGTCCACATTCCCACAGTGTACAGAAGTTCCTTTTCTCCACTCCCTCGCCAACACTTACTGATCCTGGTCTGTTTGATATGGGCCATTCTCCCCGGTATGAGGTGGTATCTCATTGTGGTTATGATTTAAATTGCCTTAATAAGTGATGACAAGCATTTTATCATGTGCCTGTTGGCTACATATTTATCTTCTTTGGAGAGTGTCCATTTCACTTATTTCACTTTGTTTTTTTAGTAAATAATTTTTTTATTATGGTAAAAAATAACATGGTTTCCAGAAGTGTGATTAATGGAATAAATTCAAATATTAAGGTAGAAAATAGTATTAAAGAAAAAGTGTAGAGACTGGAAGGGACTGCAAATAATAAAAGAGTTTAATAGTTAATAGTTTCCAGGTGAGCTTGGAGACCTATGAGTTATAGCAAACGCCCTAGTGTCTCCTGAGGTTCAACAGGGTTATCTGAAAAACTGATCCTATTGATTCATCAGCCTTTCTTGAACTTTGTCTTTACTTATTAACTTTTGGTGCCTTTATATACAATGGAATACTATTCAGTAATCACAAAACATAAACTCATGCCTTTTGCAGCGATGTGGATGGAGCTAAAAGGAATTATCCTCAGTGAAATAAGTCAGAAGGAAAAAGAAATATATCAGAAGGTTTCACTTATAAGAGGAATATAGGGAAATCAAATAAGACATCAGTGTAAAAAAATAATAACAATACAAAACACAACAAAACAAAAACAGACAACCCTGCCCATTTTTTGACTGGATTTTTCTTTTCTTTTGGCTGAGTTTATAGGCTTTTTTGAAAAACATTTTCAAATAAATATATGTTTTATTTATTTTTTACATCGTTGTTCATTTTTAAAAAGATTTGCTCCTCCCCCCAGGCATAGTCCCCATAGAATATCCCTCACCAATGTACCCTTAAGCCATCTCCACAGTCCCCTGTGCTCCTCCCTCCCTCCCTCTGATCCCTCTCCCTTCTCTTCCCCTGAAGGATGTCTCTGGTTTATAATTGTTTTTGTTTTGCTGTGCTTTGTACTGTTATTATTTTTTTACACTGATGTCTCATTTGGTTCCCCTATATTCCTGCTTTAAGTGAAACCATCTAATATTTTTTCTTTTCCCTACTGACTTATTTCACTGAGCATAATTCCTTCTAGCTCCAACCACGTTGCTGTGAATGGCATGAGTTTATCTTTTTGATTGCTGAATAATATTCCATGTGTATATATACCACATCTTCTTGATCCAGTCATCTATTTTTGGGCATTTGGGTTGTTTCTAGTTTTTACCTATTGTAAATAGTGCTGCAATAAACATAGGGGTACAGGTGCTCTTTTGAATCAATGTTTTTATGTCCTTTGGGTAGATCCCTAGAAGCAGAATTGCTGGGTAATATGGTTGTTCCATCTTTAGTAGTCTGAGGAAACTCCAGACAGCTTTCCATAGTGGTTAGATCAGTTTGCACTCCCACCAGCAATGTAAGAGAGTTCCTTTTTCACTACATCTTAGCCAACATTTGTTGTTGCTAGTATTTTTTTTTTGATATGGGTAATTATTACTGTTTAAGGTGGTATCTTGATGTGATTTTGATTTGCATTTCCCTGATGATAAGGGATGCTGAACATTTTTCCATATGCCTGTTGGCCATTTACATTTCCTCTTGGGAGAAATGGCTCAAGTTCTTCTGCCCATTTCTTGACTGGATTGTTTACTTTGTTTTTGTTGAGCCATGTGATTTCTTTGTATGTCTTTGTGATCAGTCCCTATCAGTTGCATGGAGTGCAAAAATTTTTTTCCCAATCAGTGAGGTGTCTCTTTGTTTTGGTTAATGTCTCCTTGGCTGTACAGAACCTTTTCAGTAGATGTAATCCCAGGTGTTTATCTTTTCCTGACTTTCTTTGCTTTGGGTGATGAGTCTTCAAAGATGTTACTAAGATGTAAGCCTTGTAGTGTTTTACCTTGTGTAGGCTTTTTGTAGCTCTTAGATGTTAGCCCCTTGTTGGACCCATGATGTGCAAAATAAACTTTCTCCCAGTCAGCAGGGTGTCTGTTCTTTCACTAGGGCAGCTTTTTGTTTTGCTGTACAATTTATTTACTTTCACTTTATTTCCATGATTGTTGGAGACAGAATCTCCAAAGTCAACCCTATCATAAAGGATTCTAAACTAAGTTCCATTTATTAATGATAACCAGACACATACGTTTAAGCAAAGCTCAACTGCATTTCTGAAACTGGGCTTTAATGATATTTGTTGGTGCCAGTGGGAGTAACTAAAACACCTTGGCTAATGCATCAACAAACATTACAACAGAGCCAATTATTAATCCTCTGAAGATTTGAAAGGGTCAATACATTCCCAAATCTTGTATGTCAGGAAGGTCTATTTAAACATTTCTCCCGAGTCAATGAAGAAAGAATTACACAGAAGGGCCCTTAAGTAAATCTCAGCAGCAGAGCTATGTATCAACAAGCTGCAGGTTTGTTCAGGAGACACTATTCTCAAGCTCAGTATGAGACAGAAGAAGGGCTTAAATCAGGAATGAAAGGATCTCTCTCCACATTGCTCATGATGTTTTCAAGAAACAAAAATTTCGCAGAATTGGTTTGAGAAAAAATGTCCAAACAAGTGAATTTGACTCACTTTTACATTTTACAGTTCTGTATACTAGCTTTTCCTGATTTGAAGAACTTTTCATGGTTCCTGTCGTTTTTAATTCACATTGACTATAGTTCAAAGGGATCCAAAAAAATCTATTTGGAAGATGTGTTTACATTTTCAGAGGAAGTCTGAAGTTCACGGGTGAATTGGTATTGGGAATTTTACAGGGACTATACCTGAAAGGAGAAAGCATACAAACATACATTGTACAAAAATTAACAATGGTGTAAAATATACATATGCATAAATTTTAAAAATTATAGAGAAAAACAAACAAAAATCCATCAACAGCGGTCTCTATGTGTGCATGTGCATTCATTCACCAAAAAAAAGTATTGAAAGCTCACAGACACCACTAATTTAGATTTATTAGTACTTGACTTTGTTGTGTCTCATACACAGTGGACTTTTAAAAGAATACTGACATTATATATTCATAATAATTCATGTCAATAAACAGATATAAATTCAAAATAATTCTTATTAGTGAAATATGTCCCAAAGTATGGAATAAAATTGTGAGATTCTTAAAGCTGAAAACAAAGTCTGGAGGTCAACTGTAATTCAACATTCATCATAACACCTAGACTCTGTGTGGTATTAGGAAGATAACTGTCACTATTCAATGACTATAATTTAACCTCCTTTCATTCTTCTTTACAAAATCTGAAAAACAACAGAAGTGAGTGGATGGTGTAGCTCCACCAATTCCGGACACCAAGACTCAAAGGTAATGGAAATTTTTAATATTGAATTAAAAATATCACTCAAACTACTGTCATCTTTCCAGATGGACTATGTACTCACACTCAAAGCTGAATCCATGGAAAGAATGAATAATGTAACAGAATTCATTCTACTGGGCCTGACCCAGAATCCAGAACTGCAGAAACTATTATTTGCTGGGTTTTTGATCGTCTACTTGATCACGTTGACAGGAAACTTGCTCATCTCCACCACCATCTTCATCAGTCCAGCTTTGGGTTCTCCCATGTACTTTTTTCTGGCTTTTTTGTCCATCTTAGATGGTTTCTACTCTACTTCCATAACACCCAAAGTGATCTTTGGCTTGATCTCTGAAAAAAACACCATATCCTTCAACGGCTGCATGAGCCAGTTCTTTGCTGAACATTTCTTTGGTGGATTTGAGGGCACCTTGTTAACTATCATGGCCTATGACCGCTATGTGGCCATCTGTAAACCCTTGCACTACACGACCATCATGAGCAGACATGTGTGCGTGCTTCTTGTGGTAATAGCAGGAGTGTTAGGGCTTCTTCACGCAGGCATCCAGATTGTGTTCATGGTCCAGTTACCATTCTGTGGCCCCAATGCCATTGACCATTTTACATGTGATGTAATGGCTCTCATGAAACTAACCTGCATGGACACTCAAACTTTGGGACCCCTGATTGCTGCCAACAGTGGCTCAATGTGTTTGCTTATTTTTTCTATGCTGATTGCTTCCTATATCATCATCCTGCGCTCCCTGAGGAACCACAGTGCTGAGGGGTGCCGCAAAGCCCTGTCTACTTGTGCCTCTCACATCACTGTGGTCATTTTGTACTTTATCCCTTGCATATTCATTTATCTAAGACCCATGACCTCCTTCCCCATTGACAAAGCTGTGAGTGTGTTTTACACCACAGTAACTCCTATGTTGAACCCTCTAATCTACACCCTCAGAAACACAGAGATGAAAAGTATCATGAAGAAACTTTGGAGCCAATTAATGAAAACTGCAGATATACAAGCCTTTCTGTTGGAGTTTAGGGGGAAAAAGTCTAAGGATACTTTAGACAGATTTAGTCTCCTTATTCAATTAGGACTGAACCGGTCAATTATTCTACCTGAATCATTTTTCTGCAATATCCCATATATTGTTGACAGGATGGACCTTTCCATTAAGGCACAAAAGATATAGTGTAGTGTGGTAATTTTAGTAGTCCCTCAATGTGTTTAATTTCTTTTAAAATAAGAAAAATGAATGCAATCCAAATATAACTGGATTATAGCAATCCTGGGAGTGGGGAGGAAGCCTACAAACAAAAATACCAAGGGTCCACGAAAGTCACAGTGTTGCCCTAAGTATGCATGTGATACTGTCAACGCCAATACTCCTGAACACTCTGTTCCAGTACTACAGCTAGAATGAAGTTTTATTTTAAAAACATACAAAAAAAAAAAGACTACAGATGAAAAGAGGGTAGAGCAGTAAGGAAGATCTTCAAGAAGTACTTCTATCACAATATACTTTTCCTCATCTCTGTATGCATGAAAGGTGTTCAAATGTCCTCCCACCACAGCCATGAATGTATTTTATTAATCATCATACCATGAAGACAACATTCGCACATGAGCTACTTTATTAAAATTATATTTCAAGTCTGACTTCAGACACAGCCAAGAGAAAAGTTTCTGAAGACAAATGGCAGTTAGAAGAAATTACCAGTCAGATGGGAACAAGTAGTGTCATGAAATGGACGACAGTGACCATGGATCAGAACTGCATAACCCGATCCACATTGTGAACATACTGAAATCAAAGAGATCCATAAGGAGTCTGCGGCTTTGAAGTCACAACTTAAGGGCTTTGAACAAATGGGCCTGATTACTCTTCTAAGCTGCATCACTAATTAGCCTTATAAATATAAACATGTTACTTCACCGCTCTACCTATTTTCTCACCTATAAAAGGTAAATGACTTTACAGATGACCATAAATTATGCAAAGTAAATAATTAATATTGCTGATGAGAAAAGCTCTCACTTTAATGAGGCAGATGAAAATTAATAAAAACTGCAAGACACTGTACCACATTCAGAGATGTCACCAGGAATAAGGTGTGCAGGGGACAGCAGACCCTGACAGAGAAGCCCATCTCACTGCTACTGTCCTTCACCGTCATGATCATGGGAGGCAAATGTCTGTCCTGGCAGCACATCTCTCCAAAATCTATCACAAACACCACTTGACAAGTAGCGACAGCATACAGGTGAGCTACTATCTCTGAAAGGATATTTAATGGCACCAGTGACAAGGCCTCTGGACATTAAGAGCTCAGTGCCCTTGAGTAGCTCTGCAGCTACCAGTGCAGGAACTGGCTGGAGTAACTGTTAGTTGCCTGAGAAGAAAAGCTCTCACACTAGGATGGCTCCTGTCCCATCTGGTCCTGTGGAAGGAGAAGGAAGCACCCAGGGCCAGAGACTGGAAACCTCTCTGTGCAGAGATTCTGATTCCCAGGAATAAGCTCAGAAACGTGTTCTTAGAGAGAGATTTCTCACCCAGGATTCAGATAGCATGCAGTATGGACATTTCTCATATTCTCAGGACTTTAAACCAGATCAGATTTCACTGTGTGTAAAGGTTTTTTATGCTGATAAAATAAAATTCATCTTTTAAAGATCTACATTAATTCTCAAGAAATGTAGAGTGCAATAGGGTAACAAAACTAAAACAATGATGATGATAATGTTGCTCATGATGAAAATGACCAGATGATGCTGATGTGATAGCTAATTTTCACCAAACACACTGTGTGGATAAAATTCTGTCCTAAGCAGCATTCTTTTTATGTTGTTTGCAGGCAGTAATTTATGAACAAAATTTCATTCTGTCAAAATTTCCTCTGTCTTTATTCTGAGCCTCAAACTGTAGAACATCTTTGTCTACAACATTTTGTGATTTGAACATAATGGTGACCTTACTTATAAGATTGAACATTAATAAAACATTGTTAACCCCTGTATGAAATAATCACAATGAACAGACTAAGTGTGGCCTCCTAGCGGCCAAGGCTTGGGGCTGAGCCTGGGGAAGGTTCAATCTTTCAGTCATTCATTTTATAGTCTGGTTGTCCTAATATCACAATGTCATTGATGAATTCATCTGTTCATTCATTGATGAATGAACAGATGAATTCATGATGAATTCATCTGTTCATGCATCAATGAATCATTCACTGATGATTCATCTGCTAAATTACCCCTCTACTCACACTACCATCTTTTTACTTTTTGTTGCCACCAACAGTGGGCTGGTGAGTATGCTCATTTTTCCTATACCTACCATTTCCAATGGCCTCATTCTTTGCTCCATGAAAATCCACAGCACAGAAGGGCACTGGGAAACTGTCTCCACCTGTGAATACCAGGTAACTGGTATGATCACTTTCTCCAATGATAAAACAATGGCCACAACCCATGGTAAACCCTTTCACCTGCACCCTTAGAAACTCAGACGTGAAAAAATGCCATGAGATGCTCTTAACCAAATAGTAATCTTGGATAATACTTCATGAGAAGAGAGGAGATTAAAACAAAATCTATTTACACTTGAAGAACAATAACTAACCAACTCCATAATGGTCTTGTAGTCATAATGTGAGCTAAGTATAACCTGCTCCCTGCTTTCTAAACTTTGCAACAGATCCTCTTTCATAAAAAAGTCAGTATCTGAATAAATGATAATATTTCTTCCAATGAAAACTTCTATTGCATTATGTTCAAAATGTAGTTTGAATCCCCAAAATTGTAATCAAGGTAGATTTATTGTTGCAAAAGACAGATTAACAAGAAATGAATGAGTTTTAAAGAATGAGAGTAATTAAAGCAGGACTCAACCCAAAATTAAAAGTGCTGATTTGCACAATTTCAGGTACATAATTACATTGTAATCTAGGCTCTTCCAAAATAAATTACTATTCCCTGCCTAAATTGAGGATATAAAAATTCTTACAGTTGAATCCACAGAGATATCTTACATGTGATATCTTTTTTTACTTTTATTTTTTATTTATTTTTTTAATTTTTCAATTTTTTAAATAATATTTGTTTCCCCCCACCCTCAGATTGAGTCCTCATAGAATTTCCTTCCCCAAGGCACCCATGCACCATCACCACAGTCCCCTGTGCTCCTCCTTCTCCCCCTCTCCCTCCTCCTCCCCTGCAGTATGTCTCTGGTTTATAATTGTCTGTTTTTGCTTTGCTGTGTTTTGCACTGTTATTATTTATTTAACAATGATGTCTTATTTGGGTCCCCATATTCCTGTTATAAGTGAAACCATCCGATATTTGTCTTTTTCCTTCTGGCTTATTTCACTGAGCATAATTCTTTCTATCTCCATACACACTGCTGCGAATGGCATGAGTTTATCTTTTTTGATTGTTGAATATATTCCATGGTGTATATATACCACATCTTCTTGATCCAGTCATCTATTTTGGGGTATTTGGATTGTTTCCAGGTTTTACCTATTGTAAATAGTGCTGCAATAAACATAGGGGTACAAGTGCTCTTTTGAATCAATGTTTTTGTGTCCTCTGGGTAGATCCCAAGGAGTGGAATTGCTGGATCTTATGGTAGCTCCATTTTTAGTAGACTAAGAAACCTCCAGACAGCTTTCCACAGTGATTGGACTAGTTTGCACTCCCACCAGCAATACAAGAGAGTTCGTTTTTTACCACATCCTCGCCAACATTTGTTGTTGCTAGTATTTTTTTTATATGTGCCATTCTTATTGGTATAAGGTGGTATCTCAGTGTGGTTTTGATTTGCATTTCCCTGATGAGGGATGCTGAACATTTTTTCATATGCCTGTTGGCCATTTGCATTTCCTCTTTGGAGAAATGTCTTTTGAGTTCTTCTGCCCATTTCTTGACTTGGTTGTTTATTTTGTTTTTGTTCAGCTGTTTGAGTTCTTTGCATATCTTTCTGATCAGTTCCTTGTCAGCTGAACAGAGTGAAAAGGTATTTTCCCAATAAGTGGGGTGTCTCTCTGTTTTGGTTAATGTCTCATTTGCTGTACAGAAGCTTTTCAGAATCCTGTGATCCCAGGTGTTTATCTTTGCCTTTACTATCACTGCTTTGGGTGATGAGTCTTTAAAGATGTTTCTGAGATGTATGTCTTGTAGTGTTTTACCTGTATTTTCTACTATATATTTTATATTTCAGGTTTATGTCCAGTTCTTTTATCTATTTTGAGTTGATTTTTGTGCACGGTGAGAGGTAGTGTCTAGTTTCATTTTTTTGCATGTGGAGGTCCAGTTTTCCCAGCACCATTTATTGAACAAACTATCCATGTTCCATTACATATTCTTTGCTCCTTTGTCAAAGATTAGTTGTTCATATAAGCGTGGCTTTATTTCTGGGCTCTCTATGCAGTTCCATTGGTCTGTGTGTCTGTTTTTGCTCCAATACCAAACTGTTTTAATTAGTATGGCTTTGTAGTATAGCTTGAAGTTTGGAAGTGTGATACCACCTTTCTCCTTTGTTTTCATCAGTAGAGTTTTGGCTATTCATAGTTTTTTGTGGTTCCATATGAATTTCATCGGTATTTGCTCTATTTCTTGGAAGAATTATATGTGATATTTTAGGCCAAAAATAATTGGTGGAGTATTTATTTGGTAACAATATCCAAAACAGATTATATTAGAAGGACTTGTGCCACAGCTAACTGAAAAAATAGTGTGAAGTACAAAAGAAAACTGATATCTCAGTAATCAAAGCAAAGCATAAGCATAGAACTTTGAAGGGGAATTTTCAGATTAATTCCAGAATAACATGAGAAATATTTGCAGATAGAGACTACTGTGCAAAAGAAAGCTGATCTAGAGGATCACCAAAACTCCAGTGGAGTAGACCTAAGAGGAAATAAAATATACATTAAAGCACCTAGAGTTCATGATTTATTTAACACTGCGTCAAAATGCAGCATCCCGTAATGCAGCAACAAACTTTATCTTGAAAAACATGTCCATAAGTATTAAGATGAGAAAAAGTTAACATAATCAAATTATTTTTGTATTATTTATTCGAGGGAATACTGGTTTAAAACAGTACTTATGATTTTAGAGTATCAGAGGCTCTTCAGATGTATGTTACCAGAACACCTTCCACCAAAGCACCCACAGTCTTGCACAATA